AACCCTAAACGCTAAACGCTAAACAACTCCCGCCTCGGTAGCCTCAATCGCTTTCCGCGCAGAGTCGGACAAGCCCACCACCTGGGATGCTGTGAAATGGAACTTTAAATAATGGGGTACCCCTTAAAGGGATTGCATATAACAATGGGTTCTGTTTGAAGAGGTTGTATAAAATCACGGGTTCCCTTTAAAGAGGCTGTATAGTGCTTATACTGTATAGGGGTCTTGGGCTTAGGGTTTGCTAATAGGGTTCCTATAGAGGTTACATGAAAGCTACACAGGATCATATGAGGGTTAAAGTTTAATGGGTTCCCTTCAGAAGGCCTGTGTGAGGCTTGCATATGGGCTACGTGGGGGTTATGTCAAATTAATGGGTTCCCGTTAAAGAGATTGTAATTAATGGCTGTGTGAAGGTGACTTCTGGGCACACATAGGCGTTAGGATTAAACTATCGCAAGATGGTTGAATGAAACTGGGTTCTTTTATCATGGAAGGTAGTGGCGATTTTCCAGCATTTTTCAGCTTTTTCTACGAATTATAACCCTAATATATACCCTATTGTACTATAGTAGTTTCCATTTTCTTTTCCCTTATCTCCATATTACCCCCATAAACCCCCTTCCCTAGAATATCCCTATTCAAGGCGAGGTCGTCGCAATTTGCCCAAGTTAAGGGTTTAGGGGTTCAGAGCTTAGGGGGGTTCAGGGTTATAGGGTTAAGGGCCTAAACCCTGAACCCTAAACCAGTTTAGGGCCTTCACAGCAGCTGAGTCACTTCCCGTTTGGTCACGTTGTCGGCATCAAAGAAGGATTTCCTTCAGAAGGGTGTTCATACTAGCCTTTTAGTGCTCGATTTTTGTTGGTTAAGGACTGCTAGCGGGCTAGGAATATTGCTTACCTACGTCGTACCTTCAGTAACCGAATCTTACTCCTTTCTGTTCGGCTGAAAGCTGGGTCTTTGGTATCTTGGTACCCTGCACCTGTGCAGGAATTATGCGCACTAACCAGCCCATGTATGCCCATGCGCAGTCCTGAGTTGGGTTGTATGCCCCCCTGACTTGGGCTACAACCTTGTCATGCTAAACCACGCGTGCAGCTGCCCTAAATTCGAAACTCTGAGCCAGCAGTGGGTAGCTTAGCTTCAGGGAATGTTGTACCTTCCAAAAGAGGATGAAAAGGACATGACCACGGGGCTGAGCAAGCGTTTGTGGTAACTTTTACTCGGAGTCTGGTAGAAGAAAGTGCTGAGCACAGAGCGCAATGTGCCTTCACCTGGCCGTGCTATTTGTACTTCTAGACATGGGGCTTTCCTAAATTTGGGGGGGTACCTTTCTGGGAAGCCACATAGTAAGGATTATGATACTTTGGTGTCTATATTGGGGTCCCCTTATTTTGGGAAACTGCCAAATGTTTTGAACGCGAGATGTACTGTACATCTTCAAGCTGATATGTGTTCAGCATCAGTTGGGAGATAAAGACAAGCGAGCAGACCTGTCAAGACACAGAAGGTTTGTGACGAAGCGTCTGAAACCTCAAATAACTGCTTCCACACGCCCTACTCATGCAGTGTGTAATTGAAACTTGAGGGATTTGAGAAAAGGGATCCCTTCTGGAAACCCCTGTGGTCGCATTTCGGGGTAAAAAGGGTTTCCCCGCCCCCTTCGTGAGAACTTCCATCTTCTGAGCATGGGAGATGTCTAACGGCAAGGGGTCCCAAGTTCGTTCTGAATACAAGGATACCTTGCGCAAAGACCCTCAAGCCTCAAGCCCAAAATGGTAGTTTCCCAAAATAGGGGGGTCCCAATCTAGACCCCAAAATACTACAGTCCTTATTATTATTATTAGGGCCCCCGAAGGGTACCCCTAACGTTGGGAAACCCCCGAATTAAGGGCTGCAACATCCAAAGCGTGAAAGCTACCATATCTTTCCTGCACTTTCGCCCCGAGGCCTACACCTGAAATCATATGCAATATTGGGGTTTTATTGGGGTATGATATAGGGGTTATATTGGTGTACAATATGGGGGTTATATAGGGATAATGTAAAAGAAAATGGAAACTACTAATCAGAGTTAGGGCCGAAACACACTCCCTAGGGATCGACATAGCCCAATGTAGGTAATATTTACAGACTTTGGGGCCCAATGTAGGTATGATTTGTGTACTTGGATCCCTAGGGACTGTGGATCCTTTTTTTTGTTTTTGCAGGACTAGGGTCGGCATGGTACGTACAGCAGCATTGGAAGCAGTGCGTGCTGCTCGCGCATGCCCTTGCAACCTGCAAGGAGACAAACGAAACTGCAGGAAGGATCACAGGGGGATACGGATTTGGCAACAATTCGCCCGAAAAATCCTACGGAGATAAAAGTAGAGGTTTTAAGGATCCCTCCTGAAGATCACTCTGGGGCTATGCTTGCAGAAGTGCCTATCTCGCCGGGGGAATCCGAAGCAACAGCCCCCAGGGTAAGAAAATCCCTTGCTTGTTACCCCTGGTCCTGAATAAGCCCTCATTTTCCTGTAGTAAGGAATCACGGACTGCCTGGATCTCACTATTCACCCCAGTTAATTCGCGTAAGGAAGGCCCCTCGCAACATCACCATAGAGGCTGATGAAGCAAGAAAAATTATGGATGCCTGTGTATGTGTGGTTACCCCCCCAAATGTTCAACATATTCGTTTCCTTGCGACCTCCAGAAAAACGCCTGAAACTTGATGTTCCCCTGACATCCATGCCTGACAAAGGCAGAGCTCAGGAATTGCCAAGTGCACAGGCACAGGGCTGTCCGTAGAATAAGTCCACTCCGGCCGCGCGCCATCATGGCGGGGCGGTGCTGGTCAAGTAGAACTTGCTTAGATGGCCTGACTTGGGGGTTTCCCGAAATTAGGGGTACCATTTGGGGGATCCCATAATCAGGGCTATAGCATTTTGGGGTTTACATTGGGCTTCCCTTATTTTGGGAAACTACCACTTCTAGTCCGGGCAAAACTAGAGTTAGCGTGTAATGTAGACAGTCTGTATAATGCTGCAGCAGTAGCATCTCTTGCAGGTTTGACCGCGCATAGGACTCCGCAAGCAAGATTCTACAGAAAAGAGATGCCTCTCTTGGTGTGCCAACGGATCCAAACTGCCACGGTCTAAAACGAGATCTCCGAAACTGCTTGGAAGGGGCCTCTGTTTTTGAAGTTTGTGTTTGCGGACCAATAGGGTAAAATGCAGGCACTTAGATGCGTAGAATACGGCTTTGGGGTTCAGTATTCTGTCA